GAGAGAGAGAGAGAGAGAGAGAGAGAGAGAGAGAGAGAGAGAGAGAGAGAGAGAGAGAAAGAGCACTGGATGTCTCAGCTGCTGCCAAGTGTGATCCTTCACCACAATGACGAATATCCGTTCGGCAGTGTACAGCTTATTCGACTAGCATTCCATTCGTTCGAGTTTTTTTTAATCTGAATTTTAGGTTCGGACTTCGGACCATTCATTCCTTCGGGTTTTATGTTTGGACGGTTTGGTTTTCTTTTTCGCCTCTTGTTTGGGCTAGGAACCTTTTTCTGTAGTAGGTCCTGTTTGCTTCGAGTCTCCGATGTCATGAGACCGAATGCAATGAATTTTGGATCTCAGCCAAACTCTACCCTTCTCCTTTGTATATGCGACGAGTTCGATTTGCTCTTGTTTTTTTTTTTTTTCCCCTAAATTTATGTTTTTTGGAGTTCAGTTTTGTAAACTTCCAGTGTTCTCTTTCACTCTAGCCGCTGAACAATCTGTGTCAGAGAAGGTGGTCCCCGCAATGTTGGTCACGACAAGGAAAAAAAAATGCAGTGCATCTGTTCGGAGCAGGTGACCAGATGCATCAGGTACTATTAATACTACCAGATGCATCTTGCCACCTTCTGTGGGAAGATGCACTGCTTTTTTTTCCGTTTCTTGACCAGTGTAGTGCTCTCATTTCTATCCTTCTTAATTGTGTGGGCACAATCTTCTCCGCCCTTTTTCCCGAGCCACTCGTCTACCTATGACGATATATGTACTCCATATATATATATATATTATATTATATGTACTACTGAAGGAAAAGCCGGGTCTCTCCTGACACCAGCGCGAGACCAGGTCTCCCGGTTAGGGACTTTGGGTGGCGGGCCCGGGGCCAAACTTGTGCCGATGGTCGGACCCAATAACTGACGTGGGCGACTTGAAAAACCTGGAGGGCCCCTTTCCGGCCATCGGGTCCGTCCAGTCGGCCTCCCGTTGGCCCTCAGTTGCGCCCGGAAATGTTTGAGAGAGAGAGAGAGAGAGAGAGAGAGAGAGAGAGAGAGAGAGAGAGAGAGAGAGAGAGAGAGGGAGGCAGCCATCGGGTCTCACTTCGATGTACACAAGCGATATTCTGGTCAGGTGCAGTGGGAGGAGGGGAAGGAGGATGGAGTGGACAACTGAAGAAGATAAAAAAATATGGCCCTGTGTGTCCCTAATGTCCCCATGTTCGAGCGGGAGATTCGTTCCATCTTTCAGGGGAGGAGCGCGACAACGAGGGGCAGGGTGACGAGGAGAAAGAGGTGCAGGACGAGCATGAGGAGGAGAGACGACAGGAGGGACAGGATGACCCAGAGGTGGAAAGGAGGGGAGGAGAGGAAGGAGGAGGAAGAGGAGGACGAACATGAAGACAAAAAATAGTGCCGCGTATGTTCCAGCACAAGATTCATTCCATCTTGCACGCAAGGAGGGAGGATGGAGTGACAAGCGAGAGCAGGGGGAGGAGGAGGGATGGAGTGACGACGAACAGGTGGATCACGAAATGCAGGAAAGACAAAAGAAAAATATGGCCATGCATCTGGATGTGTTTTATGGGGAGATGCATGACCATATTTTTATGGGGAGCGCGACAGGCTGGATGATAAGTGAGGTACTCTGAGGGACTGTGCAAGTGGATGCCATGTGCTCCGCTGTGTGCGAGCTAGTAGTGCCACGTGTGCGTTCGACGGCCGTTAGTTGCACGCAGTAGAAGACAGCTCCATTTGACCGGGGAACGACGAGAGAAGTTGGGCATTAAAGAGGGGAAGGAGGCAATCACGACCTGCAAGAAGAGATGTTCGGGCATGGCAACCGAGAGGAACACAGGCCTGCTCCCTAAAAAGAAATCGACAATCGGTCATTGTGCTCTCTCTCTCTCTCTCTCTCTCTCTCTCTCTCTCTCTCTCCTCTGCCATGTCCCCTGCATGTGCCCTCCCTGCTATCGCAATGCCGTAAACACCATGCTATTTGTTTCCCCCCGCCTCCCCCTTTGTATTGAGTTCTAAACGATTCGAATGCTCGGATATTTTCACAATGCATATAATCATATTGGTCGCCATCATACCCACCAGAGACGATTGTATCTGGAGTGTGCATATGTGTCCATTGACTAATCTTGGTTTTGCTTCAATCATTGTCATGCTCAGACAGGTCTAGATGCCATTTTGATCGTAATCGTCATCGTCATGGTCGTCATCGTCTTCCTCTTCATCATTACCATCCGTCATTGTCATCATCATCTTCATCATCTTCATTATCATCCATTCATCCATCATCGTCGTCATCGTCATCATCTTCATTATCATCGTGTCCTCTTCATGGTTGTGAATTTCTCCATGCATTCGTTCTGTCTCAATTCGGCGAATTTGCCCTCTGAATTTTGGATTGTCGACCTCTTTGCCTTCTCCTTCTTWTCTTCTCCCCTCSCCCCCCCCCCCCCCMTCTCTTCTCCGAGTTTGCTCTCCCTCCACCGCGGCACCGTAGCTGCGACTGATCCACTTGTGTTTAATTAAAGCACCAGTGCGCTTCACAGGCAAATTGTTCCGATGTGGCACGCACGTATATGGGCTGCAGCTTTCGAGGTCCTGTGATTTCCGTACGTGCAATACGTCGTTTGGGGTCCCGTCGTGCCCGTACACGTGCAGCGACTCTTGGGGTCCTCTTCCCACGGCCGCACGGAACTCTGAAGTTCGATGGCAATGCTCACCATTGTAGCGACTTTCAGGGCCCAGGCATATTGTCCCGATGCGGCGTGGGCGTACATGGGCTGCAGCTTTCGAGGTCCCGTCACGTCCGTATGCGCAGCGCGACGTTCGGGGTCCCCATGCGGTCATACATGCGGAATGACCCTCGGGGTCCTCTTGCTGCGGCGGTACGGAGCACTGAAGCTCCATGGCAAAGCTCACCCGTGCAGCGACTTTCGGGCCCCAGGCAAATTGTTTCGATGCGATGCTGGCGTACATGGGCTGCAGCTTTCGAGGTCCCGTTACGTCCATATGCGCAACGCGACTTTTGGGGTCCCGCAGGGGACGTACATGCGCAGCGACCCTCGGGGTGCTCTCGCCGCGGCCGTATGGAACACTGAAGGTCTACGGCAAAGCTCAACCTGGTCGCGACTTTCGGGGACGTGGCCAGATTGAGCTTTGCCACAGAACTCTAGTGTTCCATACGGCCGTGGCGCGAGGACCCCGGTAGTCGCTGTGGGTGTACGACCGCGACGGGACCCCGAAAGTCGCGTTGCGCATACGGACATGACGAAAATAGAAATCAGACAGGCTGCTTGTTGCATTGTGCACACCGTTGCCGCCGGAAATCGACTGAGGCCCATCACAGAAAACTGCATTGGTTCGGATATCTCTTAAACGGCCACTACGTTTCCAACATATCGGTCGCACACATAAAAAAAAAGGGCCTGAAACGGAAAATGCGCCGCCAATTCAATTTATCAACGGCGGCCCAATCCCGCTTGGCTTCTGTGTAACCCAGCGCGGAATTGATTCTCAAGCGGGGACAGTTACACGCGGTTTGAAATTGGAAAGAGACCTAGGCTACCAGCCGGGCCGCCCTGGTCACCTTATTTTCCTGCGTGTCCCGGCCGATGTAAGGACCAGGGAAGGTCCCACCCCAATCAAAAAAAAAAAGAGGACATATAACACTCCCGGGAAAAAAAAACTATGTGATGCAGAAAAATAAACTGAACAACGTTTGCCTCAGGGTCGCATTGAAATTCTTCTTTACTAAATTGAAAATAAACACTTTTTATTTTTATTATTTTATCTGTTGGATGGAAATTGCTCATTTCAAGGTGGGGCGTGGTCCCACTAGCAAAAAGAGGATCGGATTGAATGCCTGCATCTGGACGTGTTTGTGGAGAGGTGCAGGAAATCGAGATTGAGCTGCTTTTTCGCATCTCTGCATAAAACACATCCAGATTCAGGCATTCGATCCGATCCTCTTTGCTAGTGGGACCTCGGCCAAGGTGGGGTGTGGTTTCTCTGCTGCGTCCACCATTATTTCTATAAAAGTAAAAAAAAAAAAAAAAAAAAAACCTCCTAAATCTGGATCTGTTTTATGCTGAGATCCAGAAAACATAGGTCGATCGCGAATTTTCTGCACTTCTCCACCAACACGACCAGATTTGGCGTTGAATCCAATCCCCTTTTTGCTTGTGGGACCTTGCCCCAGGTAATGCTTGCAGGGCTTCTCCGTATAGGCTTAGGAGTAGTGGTAGGCAGATAGTGAAAGGTCAAATTGAGTGAAGAATATTTGAAAAAATAAAAAATAAAAAAGTTGTTTCAAGGACAAGACATCGTGAATCTTGACGGGGAAAAAAAAAAAAGAAAAAAAAAAA